GGCAGGGGCGACCAATTGACTGGCACCAAGCAGACGCACATGCTTCATGACGAGGATGATGTCCGAGTCGACAATGGTCGACAGACGATGTGCAATCACAAGACTGGTGCGCACGGTGTTGAGGCTGCGTCTTTCCAGGCCCGTTGCGGCTGACGGGCCGCGGATCAGTTCCTGGATGGACTGCTGGACCGCACGCTCGGTGACTGTATCCAAGGCAGAGGTGGCCTCATCGAGCAGCAGAACCGGTGGGTTCTATGTGCGTTGAGTTGCACATGTCAGAACCAAGGTTGCGAGGGGAGGGAATCAAAAGCAAAGGAAGCCCAAGGGAGGGCAAAAAGGGGGCCCGGGCATACCTTGAGCAGGGTGCGTGCAATGGCCACGCGCTGCTTCTCGCCACCGCTCAGGCGCACGCCGCGCTCGCCCACCCGAGTGCCATACCCCTCGGGCAGGCTGTCCACCAGGGCATGGATGTGGGCCGCCTGGGCGGCAGCCACAATGCGCCGGTCCACCTGGGCCAGAGCCGCATCATGCTCGGTCGGATCCTTCGGCGCCACATAGTGGATCCGCCGGTACTGGCGGCTGGAGATGAGCCGCGCACGGCCCGGATCGGCCGGGTCGCCACCCGACAGGTCCGGCACCGAGGCCGACCCGGATCCGGTCTCCGAGTCGGAAAGGTCGTCATCATCGCTGTCACCCGGCAGGTAGCTGAGAGTTTGCTCGGCCTGGAAGCGACCACCACCACCGCGACCGCCGCCACCGCGGCCGCCGCCACGGCCGCCGCCGCCGCCGCCGGCGCTGGCCATAGCCGACCAGTTGGATCCCATGGGAATGCTGCCCAGGGGCTCCAGGGCCAAGACGGCGGCCGCCGTGTCCGGATCGCCATAGGCGATGTTGAAGCGGATGCTGGCATCAAAGAGGGCCACATCCTGCGGAACCACACCGACCACCCGGCGCAAGGATTCCAGGGACACATGGCGCACGTCACGGCCGCCGATCTTGACCGCGCCCTCGGTGACATCGTACAGGCGTCCCGCCAGGCGAAGGAGCGTCGACTTGCCACTGCCGGAGGATCCAACCAGGGCGCAAGACTTGCCAGCCGGAATGCGGAAGCTCACGCCATTGAGCGAGGGCCTGTCAGACCCCTTGTAGGTAAAGTGGACATTTTCTGCGAGTGGCGTGGGTCCCTCGCCGGCCGGTCAGTGACAGGTGAACGGGAACAAGATCAAAGGGACACAAGTGATGGCAGGAGTCGGGGGAGGCGAGAAAAAGGAGAAGGAGAAGGCGAGGCAAGAGGCGGCCGGGGGCAGGGAGGGGGGAGGGGGGGGGGGGGGCGAAGGGGGCGGAGGAAGGGGGCGCACCGAACTCCAGATCAAACTGGCTGCCCACTTCCGTGAGGTCCACCGCACCCGGGGAGTCGACAATGTCAATGGGCTCCTTCATGAGGGCCATCATTTTCTCGGCGTCGACGATGCTCTGCTGGATGGAGCGGTACTGCGACCCGAGCCAATTCAGAGGCGAGGCAATCTGACTGAAGTACGTCAGGAAGAGGGTCAGGTCACCGATGGTCAGGCGCCCATGCGACACTCGCATGCACACCAGGATCATGCCACCCGCCAGGCCGGCCACCAGGAGGAAATTCTGGATGGAGTTCAGCAGGATGAAGGACAGCACAGTCAGGATGTCGGCGCGCTGGTACCGGCGAATGGCACGGCTGCCAGGGGGGAGGGCCGGGGGGGGGGGGGGGGGGAGGCGGAAACAGGTCAGGCAAAGCAGGGCGGCAGCGTAAAGGGGGCGCTCTCTCCGTCCCCTGGCCGGCAGGAGACAGGCAGCAAATCAGGGAGACGAAGAGAGAGAGAGAGAGAGCCGAAAAATGCGCCCCGACATACACGTAGCGACGGATCTCCAGCGCTTCGGCGCCGTAGAGTTTGACCGTTTCGTAATTGAGCAGCGAATCGACCGACGTCTGGCGAAGAGCATTGTCGCGTTCATTCATGACTCGGCGGAACTTCGTCCGCCAGGCGGTCACATACACCGTGGCCACCATGTAGATGGAAATCGCCAGGGCCACGATTGCGCCAAAGTACACATCAAAAGCAATCTGACAATGCAAAGGAGGGCCGAGCAGGGGGGGGGGGGGAGGCCCGGCGGGCAGGAGGGCGGGGGGAGAACCAGCAGGGACGTGAGGACACATTGGTGAAGGAATGGCAGCGGCGGCGGCGGCGGCAGCGACAACAGGATGGACAAGGCGTGAGTGACATGCAGCCAGACAGGCAAAGGGCAGCGCAACACAAGGAGCACAGGCAAAGGACGCCGTGAACATACCACAAAGTAGGCAATGGACACACCGATGTCGATGATGGATGGCCCGACCGAAAAGACCACGGTCTCAACGACTTCGGCCACGGAGGAAGTCCCGCGGTCGACCACACGCAGCACCTCGCCGGTCTTGCGCTTGGCATGGTACGCCAGCGAGAGGCATTGCAGGTGGGAGAAGACCGCGCGTGAAAGCATGCGGAAGGTGAACTGCGAGCAGGGCATGTAGAGCCACTTGCGAGCATTGGAAAGCATGCCGAGGGCCGCGCTACCGCCACCCCCCTGCAGCAGCTTCAGGAAGAGATACAGGACGATGTCACCCCAGGGCACGGGGATCAGAAGCACGGCCGAGGCCAGGTCGCCGAGCGGAAGGCTCAGGGCATTCGGGGTCAGGGGCGCCGTGTAGGCGTCGATGATGCGCTTGTTGAGCACGGGAACCAGCATGTTGACCAGGCGCGCGAGGATGATGATGAAGATGCAGACAACGATGCGGAACTGCAAGCCCGGCCGGTCCTTCGGCCAGACAAAGGGAATAAGCCGGTGGGCCATGTCCTTCCACTCTTCGAATTCCTCCTCCACCGGGGAGACGGCCGCGGTGCCGACACCACCCGCACGGGGGGAGGCCACTTCGCCGGAGACGTCCTCCGGAGTGGGAACATCCGCTTGGCCATCCTCCACCGAGGACAACGGGGCATAGGCGGCCGAGGAGGCGCGCGTGCGCGCGCGACGCATCCCCTGGCGAATGTCTTCCACAAAGAGGATGAACCCGAAGATGACGATCAGGATGATGACCACCAACCGACAGATGAGCATCACAAAGGGCCCCAGGTAGATGGATGTGATGAGGCTTTGACATGGACCGGCGGTGGCCCACCGGCCGGGGCAAACCGAACTCGTCAGAAGGGACAGCCCACGCGAGGAGGCGGGGGAACTTTGCGAGGGAGGAAAGGGGCAACGCACTGGCCGATGCCACTGACCAGCTCGTGGCCCAGAGCCGACACATGGCCGGACATTTCGACCAGCACGCCAATCAGAGCACCAACCCAAAATAGGAAGGCCGGCCCGGCAGCAAGGGCAGCCCCATGGCGTCCACTGCCCAGGAGAGAGGCCCCGGCGCCGGCCGGTGAGGTGGACTTGCTGCGCATCAGCAGCGACAGGCCGATGCTGTAGGCCAGGAGCAGGAGAATGTCCGCCAGCAGGGCGAAGGCCGGCGGCGCGGTGGACACCGATCCGACCCCATCGCTGCCGGAGCTGGCCTGCTGGTACATGGCGGCACTGCCACTGACCGGATCGATGCGTTGAATGCGCGCCACCAGGTCCACAGCCACGGTGCAGATCAGGAGGATGTGACAGGCCTTGAGTAGCCAGCGGCTGAATTCCACCGGGGCCGAATCGCCATCCGCGGCCGGGGACGTGGTCTTGGTGGTGGTGGTGGTGGTGGTGGCGGTGGCGGTGGCATTGGCGCTGCCGGTGGTGGGGGTTGTCGGGCCGGAGCTGGGCGAAGAGACGCTTGGCGACATGAGGGCCAGTTCGCTGTCCATGGACCTGTCGACTTCCGAGGAGGAGGCGGCCCGCCGCCGGTCGAGAGTCCATGACCACAGGCGCCGAGCATAGCGACCCCGGAGGATGTATGCCGTCAGGGCGCTGACGACGGCGATTAGGGCGCCCGTTGTCACTGGCGAACAAAGGAGCAGGTCCACATCGCGCGTGCCGCAAAATGGCACGCCCGACAGGAGGGTCGACGCCATGGCCACTCGAGAGGAGGAGCGGGCCAGGGGGAGGGAGAGAGAGAGAGAGGACGGGGGAAGGCGTGTGCGTGTGTGCGCGTGTGTGTAGCAGTCCCTGTGGAGAGGGTGAGGGGCGTGTGCGGAGAAAGAAAGGTGATGTTCAATTGACGGAGGGGGAATAAAGCACGATGGGCGAAAAGAAGGAACGGAGGGGGGGGGGGGGGCAATGTGCGTCGGTGGGGAGGACTGCGGAATAGTTCCCGATATCGAGCGAGGAGTGCCAGGCCTTTTATAGATGCTCGGGCGAACGTGACTAGGGGGGGTTGGATTTTGTGTGGTTATATATTTTTCTCTTTTTTTCTCTCTCCCTCTCTCCCTCTCTCTCACACACACACACGCATGCACGCGCATGAACGAATTCAAATACACACGTGGAGGCACTGAACAGGGCACGGCAGGCAAGGAGGTAGATGAGGCCTCAGTAGAGCATCCTGCTCGAGACCCAGACTCCCAGGATGGTCAACCCCCCCCCCCCCCCCCCCCCAGGGCACCGGGGGCCAGCAGAGTGGCCGGCGGCTGGGAGGATAGCGCGGGGGCCCCATCCACGCGACGGATGACTCCCACAGATGTCGTGGGAAAATGGCCGGAAGGTCGTACAACTGGCCGACGGCGAAACCAGAGGCAGGTGCGTCTGCACGAATACGAAAGGGCGAGAACAAGATGGAAACAGGGATGACAAAGGGCGAGCAACAACAATCAACGAGGCGTATGCGCGTGCGGGCCGGCGAACTGGAGGAAGGCAATATCATCTGGGCCAGCCCGTGCCAAAAGGAAAACCCCGCGAGAGGCAGGATCTCTCGAGGTGTGTCGTCGACGACGCGAGACCCCGCCCGGGCTCCGGTTTGTCGGCCGGGCGACAATGATGCCAACGCCATCGCCCCTGTTCCCCGTGTGCACCCCCCCCCCCCTCCCGGCTGCCCGGGCCCCGTGGGAAATGATCACCCATGCCCCCAGTTTCCTTGGCAGTCGCGACGGCAGCGGCAGGCCGAGCCCCGCCGCTCTTCAGCTGGCAGATGCCCGCTGTGGGCTATGCGCCCCACCAGCGGAGGGGAAGGGTCCAAACAGGCAGGTGTCCGGCGCGTGAGCCGGCAAGGCAGGAACAGGGGGGGGGGGGGGGAACCGAAAAGCGCGATCGCTTACAGGACCAGGGGGATGACCGGCGGGACTCTTGTACGCCTTCCACCGCTGCCTGGGTCTAGACGCGGATGCTTACACAAGCAGCGGTCTCGGGCACGGGGCACGGTCCCACTAGCCGACCGCGAGCCTGTGCGTCCTTACCGGGCATGCGAAGCGCGAGCCGCGCCCCGCCACAACGCCAGCAGCAGGACATCAGCGTGGGACCCCGGAGGGCGGGGGGGGGGGGGGGAATGACGCTGGACCGGCTTTCAGGGGTAGGAAAATCACATGCAGATCATGCCCCTGGAGACCGGCTGATTCGAGATCAGGCCTGCCCGAAGGAGAATGTGTTCTCGGCAATCGGGCGTGCCGGCGTTACGCGCCGGCCTGGGGTGCCGACGATCGGCGCGCGGTTTTCAAACTCCTCCCAGGGCACACGAAGCCGGTCAACCGGGAAGGACGCGATCTCCCCCCACGCCTCAAGAGGTGGGCTGGGGGGGGGGGGGGGGGGGGGGGGGGGGGGGGGGACCCTGCACCTCGCTGCCCAGGATCCGCTTGTTTGAACCCTGAAATCGGAGGCCCGCCGGGGCAGACCTGTCGGGGATGCTTCCATCTCCCTGCCTCTCCTCCTTCTCCTCTCCCCTCGCACATCCAACCGGTGGTGCTCTGCTCGAAATATGTCCCAGCCCGTCGATGGTGGCGCCCCGCCCGAGCCCCCTGTTCGAGGAGGCCCCGAGAGCCGGCCATCCTTGCAAAATGTCCGTCCCCCGCCAGTGCTGTGTGCATCGGCGTCAAAGCCCCTCCCCCTGCTTCTTCCGCTCTCTTGTCGGCATTCCCCTGTCTTTGTTTAACCCCTGCCCCCTTCCCCGATCGCCCGATCGCCCGAATGTGCGCCGGGCCACTCCCCCAGGCCTTCCGCATTCGGCCCCCGCGGTCTGCCCAACTGGCGATGGACCTGGCAGATGGGTGCTTCCGCCATGCAACTCGACCCGCTGGCCAAGGGCAGATCTGCCTTGCCACGGAACATGGCGACTCGGACCCGGCACAGTTCCACACCTGTGCCCTTCATTCAGGCTCCTCCGGTGCGGATGCCTTCATCAAGCCCGAGCCTGGCATGGCTCCACCCCCGATGGCCGGCTTGTCGGCCGAGTCGGCCTCGGCCGAGGACCTAGCTGGCTGGGGCTTCCGGCCGATCGGTCGTGAGTCGTTGGACTGCGTGCGCCAGCGATTTGCCCACTTCCTGGCTTCGCGCGCGAGTCTGCGCGGGACCTACAAGGTGACGCTCCACTGGCTCATTTCCCCGCCCCCGCCGAGTCCACGCCTTGCAGGCTTTCTGACGCCGAGTTTCTTCCCTCTCCCCCCCCCCCCCCCTCCCCCCCTTCTCCCCGTCCCCCCGGGCCCCCATTGGCTCCATAGTCCATCCTCTACAATGCCAACCGTGGCGTCCTGGCCCAAGTGGCCACCTTCGTGGACACGGCATACGACCATGCGGAACAGGAGCCACGGTGCTGGTCGGTCGACCCTCGGCAGCGAGCTCGATCGGCCGGTGCCCAGCTGACGCCGGCGGCGCTGGTGTTCGGCGGAGGGGCCGGCGGAGGGGCCGGCGGCGTTGATGAGGGTCTTTTCTTTTCACAGCTGGAGCGACGCCTCCGCCAGCGCGTGGGGACCTTCTCCGGGCACTGGGTGGTGAGCATCGACTCGCGCGTGGTCACGTACGACACCCCCTGGCGTGCTTCTCTGCCACTTGCTCGGGCACGCCTTTGGCCCCCCCAATTGCTCAGGGCTTCGCTGACTCGAACATCCCCCCCCCCCCCCCCGCATTCCGCCCGGTCCACGCATTGACCCAGCTCCAACCGGTCATTCATCGCCCAGCTGGCGCGTGGGCTTGACATCAATCCCCGAGACGGTGCTCGCGGCATCCGCCGGTGGTATGCGCAGCTGTGGGTGGACGCCCTTCGGGCCGGGGCGTCAGCCGCGCGGGACTTCGCCACGCGAAACCTTGTCGTGGTCATCCGAGATCTGGAGCGCCTGGATGGGCGCCTGATCGCCGATGCGCTGGAGCAACTGACCGAGGAGCCATCCATCCCGCAGCCGCCCCTGCCGCTGGTCTTCGTTGTTGGGGCCACCACCAGCTCCAGCCTCGGGTTCAGCACCCGGCTTGATGGCCAGCTCTTTCGCCTGTGCGACGCGGCTCGCGTGATGGACACCCTGGTGACGCGACTCTTTTCAAGCGCCACCGGCCCAGAGGATGCCCCCTCGGCTGGGGGAAGCCCGGCCGATGGGGCTTCCGAGCAGGCCGGGCTCGGCAGCAGGTCCGATGATCCGCTGGTCATCCTCCGGGCCCTCTTTTCAGCGACCCCCCCGCCGGAAGCCGAGCTGATTGGCATGCTGCATCGTGGCGCGGCCGAGCTCGGGCCCCTTGGTGCCTTGCGTTTGTCGCGATCCGCCTACGAGTACCTGGTGTCGGTTTTCCAACAGCGCAACCGAAGTGTCCACTCGTTGGTCCATTCGATCGAGCTCGTCCTTTTGGACCACTATGCCGGCAACCCGTTGAGCATCTTCTGCCCGGCGCCCTTCAACTTGCACCGGCTGCCAGCCGGTCCAGCGGCCGACACGGTTCCTGGCGCCCCCGGCCCCGGCAGCGACCTGGCCTGGGTGGATGACGCGCTGGCCCTGGCCACCGAGTACCACTGGGCCCTCATCGCGCGGCTGCCCTCCTTTCAGCGGTTCATTTCCTCGGCCGCCGAGGCGGGCATCCTCCCACGGGCGACTCTGTCCGCGTCGCTGCCGGCACCGTGGGACGGCCTGTCGGGGGAACCCATGCCACTGGCCCCCCCGGCGCGGGCTCTCCTTCGGGCCTGCCTCCGGTCCTTGCACCAGTTCCATGTGAACTTGCCGAATGTCGGCTTGCGTCTGTTGCGGACCATCGAGCAGGCCATCCTCGGCCGTGCGACCGGTGGCGAGGCTGGCACCACGGGCCTTCGGATGCTCTTCTTCTTGTCTCTCCGTTCGGAGCTCTCGCACTTCGGGGTTGTCCGCGGGCTGATGTCCTCCTGGGAGTACGTTCCTGGCATGCTTGCGTGTATCTTCGCCGGGATGCTCCCTCTGACTTGGGCTTTCTTCCCCTGGGCTCGGGGGTGCCATCAGCAAACTGCCCCTATCAACGGTGCTCGAGATTGTCGAGGCTGCCATCTCGCTCACTGAGTACGACCGGCTGGGCAGACTGCTCTTTTCCCTTGCCCCATGCTCGCACGCTCACCTTGTTGACTTTCCACCCACCCTCAGGGACGTCTCCGGCCTGGAGAAGCTTCGAGGTGAGCTGGAGCTCGTTCAGCAGCTCCTTCGCGACCTCACGCACGCTGTGAAGCTCGATCGGCCTGCAAGCACCACCGACGATACTGGCGGCCCAAAGGCGCCCGCCGTGGCTGATGCTCATGCCCCTGACGTGGATCTGTCCTCTCACCAGCAGCAGCAGCAGCAACCACAGCCAGTTAACCTCCTGGCGCTGACGGCTTCCGCAGCGACGGACGTATCTGGCGGGGCTGTGGCCACGTCGCATTCGCGTGCCGCCGCTGTGGCGGTCTCTTCTCTCCTGGGTCAGCTCCCGGTGCACGAAAGTGCCGCTGGGGCCGCTGGCACGCATGGGGACGATCTCCGAGCCCTGGTCGAGGCGGCTCGTGGTGCGGTCGACGCTATCCTCATGTGCGTGCACGGGGGTTGCCTCCCCCCTCCCGCTGTGGCGCTCTCACTCAGCTGCCAGCCCCTGACATGCATGTGTGTGCCCGACTTTTTCCATCCATCTCTCGCCACTTGGCCAGCTTCTGCCTGGCACACTACTCGGACATCCCCCTCCACGAGGCGTGGTACTTCTGCAAGCCGGATCTCCTTGAACGGGTGTGTCTTTCCCTGTCTCGGGAGGGTGTGTGGCCTTTTTTCTCCTCGCACATCCACGAATCTAACGCCCTCCTGTCTCCGCCCCGCGCCCCTCCCTCCCTCCCTCCCTCCCCCCCCCCCCTCTCTCTCTCTCTCTCTCCCTTCCCCTTCTCCTCTGTCACTCGAAAAGGCTTTGCATCCGGACCCCGGCCAAAGCATCCGCCGGGCGTTGGCCTCGCCGGAGGCCTACCTTGGTCCGCTGCCATCGGCCTCCGGGCCAACACCGCACATCGACAAGCCCGGCCCCGGGTCCAAGCCCAGCAAGAAGTCCAGCAAGAGGTCATCGCAGCAGCAGCAGCAGCAGCAGCAGCAGCAGCAGCGCCTGCGGCCAGATGCCTCGGTAATCTTCCCGCTATACGCGCGAGGCGGCCGGCTCCTCAATCTCTACGACCTGTTTGTGGCCTTCGTGGCGGATGCCGCGCCGACGCCCGGGTCGGCAGGCGTTCCGGTCGGCGGGGATCCCGCGAGCCCCACTCCCTCGGAAGAGGAGGTCCTCGAGTCGGCCATGCGAGATCCGGATTTGCGCGCGCGCTTCCTGCGGACAATCAGCGAATTCTCGCTGATCGGCCTGCTCCAGGAGTCGAACCGCCGTCAGGATCACGTGCAGCGTGCAGATGTTGGTCTGTGAGACTCAATATAGAATGGTGTTTGGCCCTTGAAACCCTAGATCCAGAACTGGCTGGGGTCGGGTCGCCGGTGCCTGGTGCCAGAACGCCCTTGAGGGGGGGGGGAGGGGGGGGGGGCGGGCTGGTGCGCGGGCAGATGGACCTCTGGCCGGCTGGGCACAGCACGCTTCTGGAGCCGGAAACGGGAGGGGGTTAGGGGGGGGAGGGGCGGACGGACGACATGGGGGACAGCATCCACACATACACGCGCGCGCGCAAGTACGCGACCCCAGGGCAGGGATCCCGAGCGGCTTTGAACAGGCTAGAGCGACGAGCGCGATATCCTCCTGACGGGGACCGACGGGCGCCTTGCGGCTGGCTGGCGAAACGTGTGGG